GTACAGGGTGAAATGTTCTAATATTGTGGGCAGACCACGCCCTGATGTCAGCTCTTCTGTGGGAGGCGTGCCGGCTGGTTTCCTCCTCAGCAGAAAAGTCAATCACAACCCCTATCTCCAGTCTCTGGAACTGGTGTCTGGGATCGGGGTTCACCATCTCCTGTCCGTGGAACCCAGAAGATGTTACCAGAGCTGGCAGAGATCAGTAATCAGGGTGCCTTACACAAGGAACATGTGGAGTCACTCCTGTCACCTTCCCCTCTTCTCTTCTTCCTCCTCTTCGCTCTTCTTCCTCCTCTTCTCTCTTCTTCCTCCTCTTCTCTCTTCTTTCTCCTCTTCTCTCTTCTTTCTCCTCTTCGCTCTTCTTCTCCTCTTCGCTCTTCTTCCTCCTCTTCGCTCTTCTTCCTCCTCTTCGCTCTTTCTTCCTCCTCTTCCCTCTTTCTTCCTCCTCTTCGCTCTTCTTCCTCCTCTTCGCTCTTTCTTCCTCCTCTTCGCTCTTCTTCCCCTCCTCTTCGCCTTCCCTTCCTCCTCTTCGCTCTTCTTTTCCTCCTCTTCGCCTTCCTTCCCTCTTCCTCCTCTTCCTCCTTTCTCTCCTCCCTCTTCCTCTCTTCCTTCTTCTCTCTCCTTCTTCCTTCCTCCCTCCTCATCTTCTCTTCTTTCTTCGTCCTCTTCTTCCTCCTCCTCATCTTTTCTCGTCCTCTTCTTCCCCTCCTCATCTTCTCTCGTCCTTCTTCCTCCCTCTCCATCTTCTCTCTCCTCTTCTTCCTCCTCCTCATCTTCTCTCTCCTCTTCTTCCTCCTCCTCTCATCTTCTCTCGTCCTCTTCTTCCTCCTCCTCTTCCTTCCTCTCCGCTTCCTTCTTTCCTCCTCCTCCTCTTCTCTCTCTTCCCTTCTTCTTCCTCCTCCTCCTCTCTTCCCCTCGTCCCCTTCTTCTTCCTCCTCCCTCCTCTTCTCTCGTCCGCTTCTTCTTCCTCCTCCTCCTCTCTTCTCTCGTCCGCTTCTTCTTCCTCCTCCTCCTCCTCTTCTCTCGTCCCTTCTTCTTCTTCTTCCTCCTCCTCCTCTCCTCTCGTCCGCTTCTTCTTCCTCCTCTCCTATTCTCCTCCTCTTTCTCCTCTCTTCTTCCCCCCCTTCCTCCTCCGTCCTTCCTCCTCTCTCCTCGTCCGCTTCTTTCTTCCTCCTCCTCCTCCTCCTCTTCTCTCGTCCCTCTTCTTCCTCCTCCTCCTCCTCCTCTTCTCTCGTCCCTTCCTTCTTCCCCTCCCCCCTCCTCCTCCTCTTCTCCCGTCCGCTTCTTCTTCTTTCCTCCTCCTCCTCCTCCTCCTCTTTCTCTTCTTCTCGTCCTCCTTCTTCTCCTCCTCCCCTCCTCCTCCTCTCTCCTCTTCTCTCGTCCGCTTCTTCTTCCTCCTCCTCCTCCTCCTCCTCCTCTTCTCTCTCTCCGCTTTCTTCTTCCTCCTCCTCCTCTTCCTCCTCCTCCTCTTCTCCTCTCGTCCCGCTTCTTCTTCCTCCTCCTCTCCCTCCTCTCTTCTCTCCTCCCGCTTCTTCTTCCTCCCCTCCTCCCCTCTCCTCCTTCCTCTTCTCTCGTCCCCTTCTTCCTCCTCCTCCCTCTCTCCTCCTCCTCCTCTTCTCTCTCCTCCGCTTCTTCTTCCTCCTCCTCCTCCTCCTCCTCTCTTCTCTTCTCCGTTTCTTCTCCCTCTTCCTTCCCTCCTCCTCCTCCCTCCTCCTACCTCCTCTTCTCTCGTCCTCCCTTCTCTTCCTCCTCCTCCTCCTCCTCCTCTTCTTCTCTCGTCCCTTCTTCTTCTTCTCCTCTTCCCCCTCCTCCTCCTCCTCCTCTTCTCTCGTCCCCTTCTTTCTTCCTCCTCCTCCTCCTCCTCCTCTTCTCTCTCGTCCCTTCTTCTTCTTCCTCCTCCTCCTCCTCCTCCTCTTCTCTCGTCCGCTTCTCTTCTCTCCTCCTCCTCCTCCTCTTCTCTTCTCTCGTCCTCCCGCTTTCTTCTCCTCCTCCTCCTCCTCCTCTTCTCTCGTCCGCTTCTTCTTCCTCCTCCTCCTCCCCTCTTCTCTCGTCCGCTTCTTCTTCCTCCTCCCCTCCTCCTCTTCTCTCGTCCGCTTCTTCTTCCCCTCCTCCTCCTCCTCCCCCTCTTCTTCCGTCCGCTTCTTCTCCTCCTCCTCCTCCTCCTCCTCTTCTCTCGTCCGCTTCTTCTTCCTTCCTCCTCCTCCCTCTTCTCTGTCCGCCTTCTTCTTCCTCCTCCCTCCTCTCTCGTCCGCTTCTTCTTCCTCCTCCTCCTCCTCCTCCTCTTCTCTCGTCCGCTTCTTCTTCCCTCCTCCTCCTCCTCCTCCTCTTCTCTCTTCTTCCTTCTTCTTCCTCCTCTTTCCTCCTCTTCCCTCTTCTTCCTCCTCTTCCCTCTTCTTCCTCCTCTTCCCTCTTCTTCCTCCTCTTCCCTCTTCTTCCTCCTCTTCCCTCTTCTTCCTCCTCTTCCCTCTTCTCTCCAGAATATTTGTTTGACAAGCAACTTTGACCGACTTGCTGAAAAAATCCCAATAATAGAGCTCAGGGTCTCAATCTGCATTAATACATATCTGTATATGCCAGAGTAGTGACCCCACCCCCCCTCCTCCAGAGTAGTGACCCCCACCCCCCCTCCTCCAGAGTAGTGACCCCACCCCCCCCTCCTCCAGAGTAGTGACCCCACCCCCCCTCCTCCAGAGTAGTGACCCCACCCCCCTCCTCCAGAGTAGTGACCCCACCCCCCCCTCCTCCAGAGTAGTGACCCATCCCTTCCTAAACAGTGACCCCTCCCCCTCTCCCTCACACAAGTGACCCCCTTTCCCCCATTCCATCCGTCTGACCCCCTCGAAGTCTGTTTCTGCTGCATTCCGTCCGTCTGACACCTCGCATTCTACTGCTGCATTCCATCCGTCTGACACCTCGAAGTCTTCTGCATTCCATCCGTCTGACACCTCGAAGTCTTCTGCATTCCATCCGTCTGACACCTCGAAGTCTTCTGCTGCATTCCATCCGTCTGACACCTTGCAGTCTTCTGCTGCATTCCATCCGTCTGACACCTTGCAGTCTTCTCCATTATGTCCGTCTGACACCTCGAAGTCTTCTGCTGCATTCCGTCCGTCTGACACCTTGCAGTCTTCTGCTGCATTCCGTCCGTCTGACACCTTGCAGTCTTCTCCATTATTCCGTCCGTCTGACACCTCGCAGTCTTCTGCTGCATTCCGTCCGTCTGACACCTCGCAGTCTTCTGCTGCATTCCGTCCGTCTGACACCTCGCAGTCTTCTGCTGCATTCCGTCCGTCTGACACCTCGCAGTCTCTTCTGCTGCATTCCGTCCGTCTGACACCTCGCAGTCTTCTGCTGCATTCCGTCCGTCTGACACCTCGCAGTCTTCTGCTGCATTCCGTCCGTCTGACACCTCGCAGTCTTCTGCTGCATTCCGTCCGTCTGACACCTCGCAGTCTCTTCTGCTGCATTCCGTCCGTCTGACACCTCGCAGTCTTCTGCTGCATTCCGTCCGTCTGACACCTCGCAGTCTTCTGCATTCCATCCGTCTGACACCTCGCAGTCTTCTGCATTCCATCCGTCTGACACCTCAAAAACTCTTCTGTCTGATGCCAAGTCCCTAAAATCTTCTGAGTCCTACCAAGTGAATGTTCAGGCCTCACCTTCAGGTGTCGGGTCCTTCAGGGGCTCTTTCAGCTGAGACCCCCAAATCTGTTGTTTCTGTGTTTTCTGTGTTTTGTTGATCAAAATGTGAACAAATGTCTGTGCCGGGGTGTTGGCCTCTCAATATAAAGAGTCCAAGTAAAGTCTCTGCGGAGAGATCCAGTCCGGTGACCAGGCCAGGCTGTCCAGGAGGAGAATCAGACTCTGGAGAAGAAAGAAAAAAAGGAGAGCGCCTTGTAAGTGCAGCAAATGTATTAAAGGCTGAGATAGGACCACTGACGTCCCATAACGAGCTTTATAGTGAATGGTTTCCTAGTGAAGGCGTCAAATCCCCCGTCAGGTCTGCACTGTCGGGGAAGATGGCATCTTCGCTTCCAGAATCACCGCGGAATGCACCGGAAGGGGAGGAGACATCAAGTCACCGGCTTCAAAAAGGAGTTGGCATGCTGAGAAACGTGTTGCCATGCCCCGCCCTCAGTGTCAGGTGCGTTCCATGGTGATTCTGGAAGCAGAGATGCCATCTTCTCTGGAGTTCCATTGTTGCCTGACAGCGCAGACCTGGCGAGCGATTCGACGTCTCCGTGACCGTGCGGTTTTACTGTAGATAACCTGTTCTGTATCACATGTGAGTGGCCCTATGTGACGGGAGTGACTTTTTTGGGGGTGGGGGGACCTCTGTATCACGTGAGTGGCCCTATGTGACGGGGGAGTGACTTTTGGGGGTGGGGGGGACCTCTGTATCACGTGAGTGGCCCTAGTTTAGCCTTCAATAAATTATTCCTCGCTGCACTTGGAGGCGCTTTCCTTTTTCCCTTCATTTGTTGGTGTCGCCCTCCCCTCACTTGGACAGGTTTTGGATGTTCCAGCCGTCTGAGTCCCTCAGTGAATGTGGACCAAAGTGTACTGTAGAATCCGTTTCTTGTATGTCGTTGAGGGGCTCAGGTACCCCCCCCCCCCCCCCACCCCTTCTTTGTCTTTGATCATGGTCTTGGCACTACTTTTCCACCATTTTGAAGCATGCTGGGAGGAGTGATATCAGGCTGGTCACTGTATCCAGTCCGCCCTGTAGGTGGCAGTATAACCTGAATTCCTGTGTCCCTCAATGAAGTACAAGACATTTTGTCCCCCCCCCCCCCCCCCCCCCCATTCCTCCGATGTCTCCTCCTCAGTCACCGCCTTCCCCGCCCCCGTTCAGCCCCTCTGTACACATCTGTCATTGTTCCTGTCTTGGTGTCCCCTATCTCCCAGTCCAGGATTCAGATGTCCCCGGAGGTGACGGTCACGGTGCGATTGGTTCGATCCTTCGAGCATCGGAACTTCCGTCCGCTTGTCTATCACGGAGTCGGCTTGGATCAGACGGTGGAGGAATTCATAGAGTATATCAGGAAAGGTGAGAGAAACGTCTAAGAAGTCATTCAGTGTATAAAAGCCGCGTCCGACACCAATACATCCCGGTATATACTCCTACATTACAGCAAACGTGCAGTGGGTGCAGTGGGTGAAATGCATGCAGTGGGTGCAATGGATGAAATGCGTGCAGTGGGTGCAATGGATGAAATGCATGCAGTGGGTGCACTGGATGCAGTGGGTGCAGTGGGTGCACTGGATGCAGTGGGTGCAATGGATGAAATGGATGCAGTGGGTGCAATGGATGAAATGGGTGCAGTGGGTGCAATGGATGCAGTGGGTGCAGTGGGTGCAATGGATGAAATGGGTGCAGTGGGTGCAATGGATGAAATGGGTGCAGTGGGTGCAATGGATGAAATGGGTGCAATGGATGCAGTGGGTGCAATAGATGAAATGGATGCAGTGGGTGCAATGGATGAAATGGATGCAGTGGGTGCAATGGATGCAGTGGGTGCAATGGATGCAGTGGGTGCAATGGATGCAGTGGGTGAAATGGATGCAGTGGGTGCAATGGATGAAATGGGTGCAGTGGATGCAGTGGGTGCAATGGATGAAATGGGTGCAGTGGATGCAGTGGGTGAAATGGATGCAGTGGGTGCAGTGGGTGCAATGGATGCAGTGGATGCAGTGGGTGCAATGGGTTTCCATGGATGCAGTAGATACAAATGTATCCATTTATTTCACATGGTTAAAGTGGAGCTTCACTTTCTCAACATGGACTATGTTGAATCCTTTTTTTAACATTTCAGTTACTTCCTGGGTTCCTGCCTAGGCAAATGATGTCCTATACAGTATCCCAGGAGTCTTCAGAAGGGGTGGGAGGGTTCTCAGCTCAGCCAATGCCTGAGCAAAGGACAGATGGATTCCAGGAAGTAAATGCTGCACAAATCTACCCTTACTCAAGGTGGCCACTGCCAGAAATGCCAGGGGGGGTGTTTCAAAATTACTTCTCAGCAAAATAAAGCATGGAGACGTGGATGGGTGGAGACGTGGATGGGTGGAGACGTGGATGGGTGGGGACGTGGATGGGTGGGGACGTGGATGGGTGGAGACGTGGATGGGTGGAGACGTGGATGGGTGGAGACGTGGATGGGTGGAGACGTGGATGGGTGGAGACGTGGATGGGTGGAGACGTGGATGGGTGGAGACGTGGATGGGTGGAGACGTGGATGGGTGGAGACGTGGATGGGTGGAGACGTGGATGGGTGGATGGAGACGTGGATGGGTGGATGGAGACGTGGATGGATGGATGGAGACGTGGATGGATGGATGGAGACGTGGATGGTGGATGGTTGGATGGATGGAGACGTGGATGGTTGGATGGATGGAGACGTGGATGGTTGGATGGATGGAGACGTGGATGGTTGGATGGATGGAGACGTGGATGGTTGGATGGATGGAGACGTGGATGGTTGGATGGATGGAGACGTGGATGGATGGAGACGTGGATGGATGGAGACGTGGATGGTTGGATGGATGGAGACGTGGATGGTTGGATGGATGGAGACGTGGATGGTTGGATGGATGGATGGAGACGTGGATGGTTGGATGGATGGATGGAGACGTGGATGGTTGGATGGATGGATGGATGGAGACGTGGATGGTTGGATGGATGGATGGAGACGTGGATGGTTGGATGGATGGATGGAGACGTGGATGGATGGAGACGTGGATGGTTGGGTGGATGGATGGAGACGTGGATGGTTGGATGGATGGATGGAGACGTGGATGGTTGGATGGAGACGTGGATGGTTGGATGGAGACGTGGATGGATGGAGACGTGGATGGTTGGATGGATGGATGGAGACGTGGGTGGTTGGTTGGATGGATGGATGGAGACGTGGATGGTTGGATGGATGGATGGAGACGTGGATGGTTGGATGGATGGATGGAGACGTGGATGGTTGGATGGATGGATGGAGACGTGGATGGTTGGATGGATGGATGGAGACGTGGATGGATGGAGACGTGGATGGTTGGGTGGATGGATGGAGACGTGGATGGTTGGATGGATGGATGGAGACGTGGATGGTTGGATGGAGACGTGGATGGTTGGATGGAGACGTGGATGGATGGAGACGTGGATGGTTGGATGGATGGATGGAGACGTGGATGGTTGGATGGATGGATGGAGACGTGGATGGTTGGATGGATGGATGGAGACGTGGATGGTTGGATGGATGGATGGAGACGTGGATGGTTGGATGGATGGATGGAGACCTGGATGGTTGGATGGATGGAGACATGGATGGGGTGGATGGATGACTGGAGACATGGATGGGTGGATGACTGGAGACATGGATGGGTGGATGTCTCCTTCCATCCATCTGTCCATGTCTCCCCCATCCTTCTGTCCATGTCTCCATCCATCCGTCCATCCATGTCTCCATGCTTTATTTTACTGGGAAATCCCTGTTAAAGCCCCCCCCCCCCCCCCCCCCAGCCGCCTTGGCCATCTTGAGTAAGGGAAGAGGATTCATGTAGCATTTACATCCAGGAATCCACCTGTCCTTAGGTCAGACAAGCAGGTAGGAGGGTGTGCATAGCTAAGAAAGCTCCCTCCTGATGACTCCTGGGATGTATGACATCATTTTTGCCTAGGCCAGAAACCAGGAAGTAACTGAAGAAACGTAAAAAAAAAAGTTTAAAACCAGAAATATCTGATCCTTTCCTCTCTACTCCCCAATGATGGCGGCATAAAGATCCAGAGCCGTCCACGCTGAGAGAGTGAGGGTCCTCCATGACTGGGCACGGCACTTGGGGTGTGAGGAGTCCAGCGCCTCCAGTACGTAATTTATTGTAGACATTAATAAGTGTCATAGCCCCTCCCCCGGCCTCGGACCATCCTATCAGACCCCGGAACGAGTCTGTACCATCCGGGGGATATAATATATATAGCTGCAGGGGGGCTGTGTATGGCCGGTCCTCTTCACCTGTTCCCTCCACAGACCTGCAGCCACTGATGTCTCCATCCTCGCTCTTCATACCTCTGTAGTGAGCGGTGTCACTGGTTTCCTTTCAGATGTCGCGGAGCGGGTTGGATTGCCGCCTCCATTCAAGAAGTACGCGTACGGTGAGTTCTCCTGCAGGATGATTGTAGTACCGCCCCCCCCCCCCAACAGGAGGGGTGCAGGACAGAGGAGGATTGCTAGTAACAGAAGAATCAGCACAAGGGACACATCATACTGGCTGTAACTTATGTCCCTTGTGCTGATTTTTCTGTTTGGCTGCACCTAGGTTCTAAAGCTTGGGGGCTCAACCTGTGTCCCTCCATCTGTTACAAACTACAAGTCCCATCATGCCTCTGGCTTTGGGAGCCATGCTTGTAACAGTCAATTTTGCAATGCCTCTAATGCATGTGTGCTCAACCTGTGGCCCTCCATCTGTTGTGGAACTACAAGTCCCATGAGGCATTGCAAGCTGCTGACTCTTACAAACGTGACTCCCAAAGGCAGAGGCATGATGGGACTTGTAGTTCCGCAACTGATGAAGGGTCACGGGTTGAGCACACATGCTTTAGAACACGGGTGTCAAACTGGCAGGAACATTTCTACGGGTCCCAGAGCGGCTGTGCTGTCTGGTCCCCATTGGGGGGATTTTTGCCTCACTTTGTCTGTGATGGGTGGTGTGAGGGTTCTACGGCTAAAGTTCCTGGGACGAAACGCATCAGGGCGGAGACACGGCAGATGGTGGAGAGAATGTCTATCTGATCTAATATGGTGCCAATAAAGTTTGTTGGGGTTCAACAAAAAAACAATACCTAGTGGAGGGTGGCTTCTGTGTATGGGGGGGGGGGGGGCAGACGCGTGGGGCGGATCTTCCTCCTGGGGGTGAATGGAGGACGGTGATTGATTCCGGTTTGTGTTCTGTTTCTGCAGATACAATGAAGATCATCCACCAGGCACATGGAGCCAAGGTCAGCACCTCCCCCGCCCATCACCTCGGTGTATTCGTATTGGCTGCCCAGACCACCTATTATCTGTACGCAGCTTTTATCCAATGCTCCCACGTATTTCCCATCCCCGCCCGCCATCAATCTCCCCGCCCCCCACCGTTATCCCCCCCCCCCCCCACCGTTATCCCCGCCCGCCACCGTTCACAAGTGAACCAGGAAGTTAGACGTGTCACCGGCTCTGTCTGGTACGTGGGACTGCTGAGAATTCCTGATCCCTCCTCGGGTGAAGCCGTGTGTAGATCTGGACCCCGGGGGAGTATCTGTAGGCAATGTGATTGTACAGAAAGATATTACAGCTCCAGGCGGCCTCACAGTTCCTCCACCAACCACAGGTACCTACCTACCGGCATCCCCCCTCCCCCCCCCCGCCGTGTTCAGATACAGACAGGCGGCGTGTCTGCGCTCCCTTCTCCTGATATCCAACAAGCTTTATAGCAAGAGTGTAGCACATCCCCCCCCCACCCCACCACGGACCCTCTACTACCACGGCTGGTCTCTAGTCCGGCGGCTGGTCTCTAGTCCGGCGGCTGGTCTCTAGTCCGGCGGCTGGTGTCTAGTCCGGCGGCTGGTGTCTAGTCCGGCGGCTGGTGTCTAGTCCGGCGGCTGGTGTCTAGTCCGGCGGCTGGTCTCTAGTCCGGCGGCTGGTGTCTAGTCCGGCGGCTGGTGTCTAGTCCGGCGGCTGGTGTCTAGTCCGGCGGCTGGTGTCTAGTCCGGCGGCTGGTGTCTAGTCCGGCGGCTGGTGTCTAGTCCGGCGGCTGGTGTCTAGTCCGGCGGCTGGTCTCTAGTCCGGCGGCTGGTCTCTAGTCCGGCGGCTGGTCTCTAGTCCGGCGGCTGGTCTCTAGTCCCGCGGCTGTCTCTAATCCCGCGGCCGGTCTCTAGTCCGGCGGCTGGTCTTTAATCATGAGGGTGGAGTGTATTTATGAAGGTAGTGATTGGTCATGAGGGAGGTCCTTAGTCATTACGGTGGCCCTTTATCGTCCAGTGCTCTTTAGTCTTGAGGCGGGGTCTTTATTCATGAAGGTAGTCATTGGTCACGAGGGTGGTCTTTAGTCATGAAGGTGGTCTCTAGTTGTAAAGGTGGCCCTTTATCATTGGGTGCTTTTTAGTCATGACGGTGGTGTGTATTTATGAAGGTAGTCATTGGTCATGAGGGTGGTCCTTAGTCATGAGGGGGTGGGCCTTAGTCACAAAGGTAAACCTTGCTCGTGGGGGTGGCCCTTACTCGTGGGGGTGGCCCTTACTCGTGGGGGTGGCCCTTGCTCATGTGGGGGTGGTCTTTGCTCATGTGGGGGTGGTCCTTAGCCACAAAGGCAAACCTTGCTCATGTGGGGGTGGTCCTTGCTCATGTTGGGGTGGTCCTTGCTCATGTGGGGGTGGTCCTTAGCCACAAAGGCAAACCTTGCTTATGTGGGGGTGGTCCTTGCTCATGTGGGGGTGGTCCTTAGCCACAAAGGCAAACCTTGCTCATGTGGGGGTGGTCCTTGCTCATGTGGGGGTGGTCTTTAGCCATGAGGGGGTGGGCCTTCGCCACGAAGGCAAACCTTGCTCATGTGGGGGTGGTCCTTAGCCATGAGGGGGTGGGCCTTAGGCATGAGGGTGTGGGCCTTAGCCACGAAGGCAAACCTTGCTGATGTGGGGGGTGGTCCTTGCTGATGTGGGGGTGGTCCTTGCTGGATGTGGGGGTGGTCCTTGCTGATGTGGGGGTGGTCCTTGCTGATGTGGGGGTGGTCCTTGCTGATGTGGGGGTGGTCCTTGCTGATGTGGGGGTGGTCCTTGCTGATGTGGGGGTGGTCCTTGCTGATGTGGGGGTGGTCCTTGCTGATGTGGGGGTGGTCCTTGCTGATGTGGGGGTGGTCCTTGCTGATGTGGGGGTGGTCCTTGCTGATGTGGGGGTGGTCCTTGCTGATGTGGGGGTGGTCCTTAGCTGATGTGGGGGGGTGGTCCTTAGCCGATGTGGGGGGTGGTCCTTGGTCATGTGGGGGTGGTCCTTGGTCATGTGGGGGTGGTCCTTGGTCATGTGGGGGTGGTCCTTGGTCATGTGGGGGTGGTCCTTGGTCATGTGGGGGTGGTCCTTGGTCATGAGGGTGGGCTTTGCTTATGAAGGACCATCAAGCCTGTCTTGGGGAGAAATGCGTTGGAGGGTCTGGCAATGAATCCATGTACCACTGTGTTCGTGAGTCTGCGCTGCTTGCAATAAAGCTTGTTGAAGATCCAGAAAAGACCAGCGGAAGTGCCTCCTTGTATTATAGATGTATTTCATTTTCTGGGGATGTTTAGGGTCAGGATTGGGGCTCCCTGGGGTGAGGTGGTCTCCTGTATGGCCCACAGTCCCGGCAGAGTCAGTGCTGGGGGGTCAGCGTTGGGTTTTCCGGTGATATAAATCCATTTGGTGGAATCTCCCACATAGAGTGCGCTGCAGCTCCAAGGTCGGCCCCCTGAGGTCGGCCCCCTGAGGTCGGCCTGCTGAGGTCCACCCGCCCAGCACATTCCTATGGGACCCATTTCCTCCCCAGACAGGTCAGCGAAGTACAACATGAATCTGAACACCGCTACTTCTGAAAAGGCTTAAAACCAACTTTATTGTTCCGGCATGAATGTGGACACTGCACCCCCCCCCCCCCCCCCCGGGGCTTTATTATGGAGCCTACATCTAGTAGGAGGGTAAATGCATCAAAGGAGGTGCCGGGTGGAGTGTCCACATTGGTGCTGGAACAATAAAGTTGGTTTTAAGCCTTTCTGGAGGTTGCGGTGCGATAATCTGTGCTGGAGGACGGTCTCACCTGTAACACACATATACCGACCAATCAGAATTGATCTGCGCTCTGTCTTGTTGCTATGGGAGACGGCCCTTAGTAGATCTCTGTTCATGCGGATTGTCTTTATTACAGACCAATGAGCTGGTGGTGAGTCTGGAGGATGACGATGACCTGATCCTGCGCAGCGGACAGACCCTGCGGGAGGCCGGAGTGGGTGAGCGCCAGATTCTTCTGTTTCCACACATGAACGCTGCACCGTATAGAGAGGAGCCGGACGGGGGCGCTGCAGCCAGCTCTGCGCTGCTCAGGGTATCCACACAACATGGATCTTTACCCCGGGTTCACATACATGTGGTGCGGAATATCACACGTGATTCACACAGGAACCGCACCGCATTTCCTGCCAATCCCATGCGATTTGTATGCGCTGCGATCCGAGTCGTACATTTTGTATGGATCTGATCGCACCGCATTCACACCAAGAACACGCAGGACCCTTTTTGTGGAATCGGATCACACGGGTATCCACACCTATGGGATCCAATTCTGCACATCGCACCGCGTTTTGTGGACCGCTTTCAGGGGGGGTTGTTTACTTAACATGCACCCCCGCAGCGGTTCCCATGAACTGGGTGCGATTCTGATGTGTGGAAATTCCACCCCCATCTGTGTGAACCCGGGATCAGGCAGAACTCCGAGCAAAGTCCTCCGTGATTTGATCGTTGATATGGGGGGGTCAATAGATGGGCAGAACCGCTGGTAGGTGCATGCAGGCGGCCCGTAGAGGTGGAGGGCGGCGGCCCGTAGAGGTGGAGGGCGGCGGCCCGTAGAGGTGGAGGGCGGCGGCCCGTAGAGGTGGAGGGCGGCGGCCCGTAGAGGTGGGGGGCGGCGGCCCGCAGAGGTGGGGGGCGGCGGCCCGCAGAGGTGGGGGGCGGCGGCCCGCAGAGGTGGGGGGCGGCGGCCCGCAGAGGTGGACGCACACGCAGCGGCTGCAGGGACACAATCCTATGACAAAATCTGACGTGTGGCCGGATCAGTCACATGGATCCAAACACACTGGGGGGTTAGTTACTAAAACTGGAGGGTGCAAAATCCAGAACAGTTCTGCAGAGAAACCAATCAGCTTCCAGCTTTTATTGTCAAAGCTTCACTGAACAAACTGAAGGTTGCAGCTGATTGGCTGCCATGCACGGCTGCACCTGATTCTGAGGGCTCCAGTCTTAGTAAATCTCCCCCATTGTGTAGTCCAGCCATGCCCAGGAATACATCCAGTACATAGGAAGCCGCACATTCCAGAGATCAACTGATCCTCCGGGATCTGGATTTAGTATTTGTAGATTGCGAGATGCCAGAAATTCCTGCAGGGATTAGGATTGGTCGGGGGCCTGGTGTGCACGGTGGGGGGGGGGGGGGGGGGGGGGGTACTAGAGGAGGAGAACGGCGGCAAAGTTTCTGCTAATCCTTCCTGGTGTGATCTGGAGTCAGATGAGCATTTTATAGTCATCATCATTCAGCGTCATAATATAGAGTAATAGGAAAAACAAAACCATCCTCACCTCATGTATATAGAGCCCAGACAGTATATACCCCGGATATAGGAGACATGGAGTGTGCAGGGAGGGGCCCCGTCCAATACACACACAGGGCATCCGCTCTCCCCGGACCCCGCATTCACCATATCCGCTCTCCCCCGGGCCCCGCATTCACCATATCCGCTCTCCCCGGACCCCGCATTCACCATATCCGCTCTCCCCGGACCCCGCATTCACTATATCTGCTCTCCCCGGACCCCGCATTCACTATATCCCCTCCCCGGACCCCGCATTCACTATATCCCCTCCCCGGACCCCGCATTCACTATATCCGCTCTCCCCGGACCCCGCATTCACTATATCTGCTCTCCCCGGACCCCGCATTCACTATATCCGCTCTCCCCGGACCCCGCATTCACTATATCCGCTCTCCCCGGACCCCGCATTCACTATATCCGCTCTCCCCGGACCCCGCATTTACTATATCCGCTCTCCCCGGAACCCGCATTCACTATATCCGCTCTCCCCGGACCCCGCATTCACTATATCCGCTCTCCCCGGACCCCGCATTTACTATATCCGCTCTCCCCGGACCCCGCATTCACTATATCCGCTCTCCCCGGACCCCGCATTCACTATATCCGCTCTCCCCGGACCCCGCATTCACTATATCCTCTCTCCCCGGACCCCGCATTCACTATATCCTCTCTCCCCGGACCCCGCATTCACTATATCCTCTCTCCCCGGACCCCGCATTCACTATATCCTCTCTCCCCGGACCCCGCATTCACTATATCCGCTCTCCCCGGACCCCGGATTCACTATATCCGCTCTCCCCGGACCCCGCATTCACCGTATCCGCTCTCCCCGGACCCCGCATTCACTATATCCGCTCTCCCCGGACCCCGCATTCACTATATCCGCTCTCCTTGGACCCTGTGTTTGCTATATCAGCATAAATCTTTTTTTCTTGTGCTGTAATGTTAGTAGTACATATAGACAATAGTTCCTAACATATGGCAAAGACTCCTTGTAACACAGCGGAGATATTGAGCCCTGGGTGCAGTACACGAGGATGTCCAGCAGAGGGCGTTGTGTCTGATGTCCTGGGTGCAGTACAAGCGGATGTCCAGCAGAGGCCACTGTCTGATGTCCTGGGTGCAGTACAAGCGGATGTCCAGCAGAGGGCGCTGTCTCCTTGTTATATTGAGCTGATGTCCTGGGTGCAGTACACACGGATGTCCAGCAGAGGGCGCTGTCTGATGTCCTGTGTGCAGTACCCAGAGATGTCCAGCAGAGGGCGCTGTCTCCTTGTTATATTGAGCTGATGTCCTGTGTGCAGTACCCAGAGATGTCCAGCAGAGGGCGCTGTGTCCCTAGGATGGGGTTGGAGGGGGGAGGTTGCAGGGTGTAAGCAGCTGGCGGAGGGGAATGTCGCTTTGCCTGCAGGGAGAAGATGGACACAATCTGCTCTCTTCTCTCCTCACGTGAGCTTTGCTGCCGGCGACAGAACGGTTGTAGCGTGTGAGGCGGGGTGCGGCCATCTTTGAGGGGGGGGGGGTAGTTAGAGGGGAATTCGCCTTACATTGAAGAAAGTGACCACAAAGTATTCCGTTTATAGGGGAGGAGCCATTCCTGGGACCCCTCCCCCCCCTTCACTGTCATGGTGTTCATTGGGGAAACTTTCCTCCAAAGTCGGGGAAACCTCCTAGAGAGTTGTCACCAGAACAGGAAGTGAGGGGGAATCTTTAAATGGGGACACTTGTTCTGGTGACAACGGTAACATTTTAGATCACTTTGGTGGTCACTGGTACAAATGGGGGTGATTGCTAACAACACCAGAAATGGGGTTCAACACCCCCCCCCCCCCCCAGTGTGTGTAGTCCCTCATTTATCTGCACGAACTTCCTGTGTCATGCAGCTTGTAAGGTGAGGACTTCACTGCCAGCATGCTTGTCGCAGCGCAGTCCCACTAGTGAAGCCAGGATGAGGGGTACAGATCAGTGAGGACACCCCCTGAGCCTGTCCTGACCGGGGTCCTCGTACTGGCAGGACTGGGCGGGGCAGAGGGGAAGGCAGAATAGGCCACTGCCTAAGGTGGGGGGAGGGCCGGAGCTGCAACCTATCCTGTGAGGTCATTCACTGATCCTGGGGGATGGGGGGCACATTGGGCTGGGGTGTGCGGGAATATTTTTGCAGTTGCCCCATTGTTGGGTGCGGGTGATCTGTAGTGTGCAGTATCTGGCAGTCCTGCGATCGGTACGCCTGCCGGGCGGGGTGGTCACATGGTACAGTGTCAGGTATCTGAAAGTCCTGGGATCGGTACGCCTGCCGGGCGGGGTGGTCACATGGTACAGTGTCAGGTATCTGAAGGTCCTGGGATGGGTATGTGTGCCTGGCGGGTGTGGTCACAGGGTACAGTGCTGAGTCTCTGGCGGTCCTGGGATCGGTACGCCTGCCGGGCGGGGTGGTCACATGGTACAGTGTCAGGTATCTAACGGTCCTGGGATCGGTACGCCTGCCGGGCGGGGTGGTCACATGGTACAGTGTCAGGTATCTGATGGTCCTGGGATGGGTATGTGTGCCTGGCGGGGTGGTCACAGGGTATAGTGCTGAGTCTCTGGCGGTCCTGGGATCGGTACGCCTGCCGGGCGGGGTGGTCACATGGTACAGTGTCAGGTATCTAACGGTCCTGGGATCGGTACGCCTGCCGGGCGGGGTGGTCACATGGTACAGTGTCAGGTATCTGATGGTCCTGGGATCGGTATGTGTGCCTGGCGGGGTGGTCACATGGTATAGTGCTGAGTCTCTGGCGGTCCTGGGATCGGTACGCCTGCCGGGCGGGGTGGTCACATGGTACAGTGTCAGGGATCTGGCGGTTCTGGGATCGGTACGTCTCTGCCGTTCATGCGGCGCAGCGCTGAGTATCGGCCGGGCGGGGTGGTCACATGGTACAGTGCTGAGTAGCTGGCGGTCCTGGGATCAGTACGTCTGCCGTTCATGCCGCGCAGCGCTGAGTACCGGCCAGGTGGGGTGGTCACATGGTACAGTGTCAGGGATCTGGCGGTCCTGGGATTGGTACGTCTCTGCCGGGTGGGGTGGTACCTGGCGGTCCTGGGATCGGTACGTCTGCCGTTCATGCCGCGCAGCGCTGAGTATCGGCCGGGCGGGATGGTACCTGGCGGTCCTGGGATCGGTACGTCTGCCGGGTGGGGTGGTACCTGGCGGTCCTGGGATCGGTACGTCTGCCGGTGGGATGGTACCTGGCGGTCCTGGGATCGGTACGTCTGCGGTTCATGCCGTGCAGCGCTGAGTATCGGCCGGGTGGGATGGTGACGGGTTAAGCCGTGTGACACGTCAGGAATGAAGACGATGTGATGGGTTCCAGGGGCAGGTCCTTGACCCGGCGGGGTGACGGCGCGGTGACTGCTCCGACGTCTGTATGCGTGTTGCGGCGCGGCGGCTCCCAGGTGGGTAATTAGCGACGTTTGAAGGCAGCGCCGGAGCCGCTCATTTGTGTCTCACTTTCCATATCGCTTCAGCCGTATGAATTATACATCAGATGAGAGCCGGCATGAAACACCTCCCCTCCCCCCACCACCGCCAGGAACACCGCAGGATGGAGATGGGGGGGCAGAGCGAGGAATATGCCGAGTGATGAGGGGGGGCCAGATCGAGGAATACGGCGAGTGATGGGGGGGGGGCAGAGCGAGGAATATGCCGAGTGATGGGGGGGGGGGGGCAGAGCGAGGAATACAGCGAGTGATGGGGGGGGGGCGAGCGAGGAATACGCCGAGTGATGGGGGGGGCCGAGCGAGGAATACGCCGAGTGATGGGGGGGGGCCGAGCGAGGAATACGGCGAGTGATGGGGGGGGGGGGCGAGCGAGGAATACGCCGAGTGAGTGGGGGGGGGGGGGGGGCGAGCGAGGAATACGCCGAGTGATGGGGGGGGGCAGAGCGAGGAATACGCCGAGTGATGAGGGGGGCAGAGCGAGGAATACGGCGAGTGGGGGGGGGGGGGGGGGGCAGAGCGAGAAATACGCCGAGTGCTGGGGGGGGGGGGCCGAGCGAGGAATACGCCGAGTGCTGGGGGGGGGGGGGGGGGGGCCGAGTGAGGAATACGCCGAGTGCTGGGGGGGGGGGGCAGAGCGAGAAATACGCCGAGTGATTGGGGGGGGGGGCAGAGCGAGGAATACGCCGAGTGCTGGGGGGGGGGGGGGGGGCTGAGCGAGGAATACGGCGAGTGATGGGGGGGGGGGGGGGGGGCAGAGCGAGAAATACGCCGAGTGATGGGGGGGGGGGGGCAGAGCGAGGAATACGGCGAGTGATGGGGGGGGGGGGGGGGGCAGAGCGAGGAATACGGCGAGTGATGGGGGGGGGGGGGGGGGGCAGAGCGAGAAATACGCCGAGTGGGGGGGGGGGGGGGGGGGGGGGGCAGAGCGAGGAATATGGCGAGTGATGGGGGGGGGCCGAGCGAGGAATACGGCGAGTGGACGGGGGGGGGGGGGGGGGGGGGGGGCGAGCGAGGAATACGGCGAGTGATGGGGGGGGGGCAGAGCGAGGAATACGCCGAGTGGGGGGTAGAGTAATTTGGGGGGACTTCACTGGCTGCATGCTTCCAGGTCAGGGATTACAAATCAAGATGCCCCCCTATTGTGGATGGAGTAGGAAAGGGTTAAGCTATCTGTATCCCATGGGGGAGATTTTCCTTCATTCCTGTCCCAGAGACCCAACAGGAAATGATGGAATGCCCCCCCCCCCCCCGGTGTCCCCAGTGGCCCATTGGGAGATTTCCCCTCTGTTCTTCTGGTGACACCTCCAAACTTGATTTCTTCCTTTCGGTTTCGGTGACAACCAGGAGATGTAGAAGGAATCTCCCCTGACCCTCATCGGAGGTGTTCTTTGACCCCCAGAGAAGATGATCCAAAACCCATAGAATGGCCTGACCCCCTGAGAAGGTGACCTATGACCTATAGAATGACCTGACCCCCTGAGAAGGTGACCTATGACCTATAGAATGACCTGACCCCCTGAGAAGGTGACCTATGACCTATAGAATGACCTGACCCCCTGAGAAGGTGACCTATGACCTATAGAATGACCTGACCCCCTGAGAAGGTGACCTATAGAATGACTTGACCCCCTGAGAAGGTGACTTATAGAAGGACCTGACCCCCTGAGAAGGTGACCTATGACCTATAGAATGACCTGACCCCCTGAGGTGACCTATGACCTATAGAATGACCTAGCAAGGGAACATGTCACCAGCACACTGAGGATCATCAATACGGGTCCAAATGTTTTAATGAACGATCTCAGAGTTACAGCAAGGTGACGTTTCAGAGTTTCGCAGGACCCCTTCATCAGGCGTGTGACCCGATCAGGAATGTGTGCGTTTGGATTTTACACTTGCATCTATAGAATGACCTGACCTCCTGAGAAGGTGACCCATAGAAGGACCTGACCCCCTGAGAAGGTGACCCATAGAAGGACCTGACCCCCTGAGAAGGTGACCCATAGAAGTACCTGACCCCCTGAGAAGGTGACCCATAGAAGGACCTGACCCCCTGAGAAGGTGACCCATAGAAGGACCTGACCCCCTGAGAAGGTGACCCATAGAAGGACCTGACCCCCTGAGGTGACCTATAGAATGACCTGACCCCTTGAGAAGGTGACCTATAGAAGGACCTGACCCCCTGAGAAGGTGACCCGAGATCCATAGAAGGACCTGACCCCCTGAGAAGGTGACCCGAGACCCATAGAAGGACCTGACCCCCTGAGAAGGTGACCCGAAACCTATAGAATGACCTGAGCCTCATAGGAGGTGACTGGTGTCCCATAGAAGATGACCTGACCGCCATAGGAGGTGACCTGTGACCCGTAGATGACCTGACCGCCATAGATGACCTATGGCGGTCAGGTCATCCTGTGACCTGACCGCCATGTGACCCCTAGAATGATGACCTGTGACCCGTAAAAGATGACCTGACCGCCATAGGAGATGACCTGTGACCCCTATAGGAGGTGACCTGTGACCCCCTAGAATGACACCGACTCCCAAATAAGATGACCTGACCCCCATAAGAGGTGACCGGCGACCCATAGAAGATGACCTGACCCCCATAAGAGGTGACCGGCGACCCATAGAAGATGACCTGACCGCCATAGGAGGTGACCTGTGACCCATAGAATGACCTGACTCCTATAGGAGGTGACCTGTGACCCATAGAAGATGACCTGTGACCCATAGAAGATGACCTGACTGCCATAGGAGGTGACCTGTGACCCATAGAAGATGACCCGACCCCTATAAGAGGTGACAAGTGACCCATAGATGATGACCTGACCGCCATAGGAGGTGACCTATGACCCAAAGAATGACCTGTGACCGCCATAGAAGATGACCGGTGACCCATAAGAGGTGACCGGTGACACATATAGACGATGACCTGACCGCCATAGAAGGCGACCTGTGACTTATAGAATGACCTGACTCCTATAGGAGGTGACCTGTGACCCATAGAAGATGACCTGTGACCCATAGAATGACCTGACTCCTATAGGAGGTGACCTGTGACCCATAGAAGATGACCTGTGACCCATAGAATGACCTGACTCCTATAGGAGATGACCTGTGACCCATAGAATGACCTGACTCCTATAGGAGATGACCTGTGACCCATAGATGACCTGTGACCCATAGATGACCTGTGACTCATAGAATGACTTGACCCCCATAGGTGATCGGTGACCCATAGAATGACCTGACTCCTATAGGAGGTGGCCTGTGACCCATAGATGACCTGTGACCCATAGAATGACCTGACTCCTATAGATGACCTGTGACCCATAGAATGACCTGACTCCTATAGGAGATGACCTGTGACCCATAGATGACCTGTGACCCATAGAATGACCTGACTCCTATAGATGACCTGTGACCCATAGAATGACCTGACTCCTATAGGAGATGACCTGTGACCCATAGAATGACCTGACTCCTATAGGAGATGACCTGTGACCCATAGAATGACCTGACTCCTATAGGAGATGACCTGTGACCCATAGAATGACCTGACTCCTATAGGAGATGACCTGTGACCCATAGAATGACTTGACCCTCATAGATGACCTGTGACCCATAGAATGACCTGACTCCTATAGGAGGTGACCTGTGACCCATAGAATGACCTGACTCCTATAGGTGACCTGTGACCCATAGAATGACCTGATCCTTACGTGACCTCTGACTTATAGATGACTTGACCTCCATAGGAGGTGACCCCTGACCCCTAGAAGGCGACCTGTGACCTATAGCTGACCTGACCCCTCAGGTGTAATCTCTGCTCTCCTTCCTCCGCAGTCCATGAGACGGAACTCGCCCTGTTTTGTGACGCCGACTACAGACAGTACAAGAAGGACCCCGTCAGCGCCTGGTGACCCAACGTCCGCCATCTTCTCTGGCCCCTGGAGGATTCTGGGAACCCCGGACCGAGGGAACTCCCACACTGACTGCTGTGTTCTGCTCGCTGTGATAAGACTTTTTACCGCCCCCCCCCCCCCATCACATCAACCAATAAACCCTCCCAACCCCCGCTCTGTGTACCCTGTTGTCTCCTCCTGTGTGCAGGTCACCACTTTGCGGGGCCCTTGCCTCCAGTTCTCAGGGGCCCCATGCCAGTAGAGCACTTTGTCCTGTCTCCAGGCAGTCTGGGGGGGGGGGGGGGGGGGTCTGAACACGATTTTGGATTTGTATTTTTGTCCATCCAGTCCTGAGATTCGCACGGCTCTGCCACACAGCAGTTTTTGTTCTGATGTAGTTCAGTAACACAGGTCTAGTCCCTCCCCCAGGCTGTGATTGGATGAAAGGAGAAGCAGCAATCGGAGGCGCTCATCTCTGGCACTCTGCTCTCTCCTTCTATCAGCACTTCTGATTGGCTCTTTGTGCTGCTTCTCCCTCTCCTAGTCTGAGCTCTGCAGTACAGGAATTATAAGAGGCTGGCGGTAATAAATCTGTGAATACAGATCCGCGGGGGCGGGTCAGAGCCCGTCTGTGTCCCCACAGCGGAGATTCCCCCTTTACTTGTTCTGGTGTCACTCAGAATGTGATCGGAAATCCAAAATGTTGGCGCTGGTCCCTGGAGTCAGTGTCCCCAGTGGAGGATTTCCCCTCCCCTGGACGATGACTAGGAGGAGATTTCCTCCCACTTCCTGTTGTGTCTCTGCGGCAGGAAGTGAAGGGAAACTTCTGAGGACACAGGAACCTGCCCGGGTCAGAACCCTCCCTTCCTGGTCGCGTGTGCGTGTTTGCATGTGCATCTCATGGATAGGGCAGCCCTGTCATTGCAGGAGGCGGTCCAGCAAGGAAAGAAGTCTCCGCCCCCTTTTTTTTTTTGCACTCATGAGAACATGTCTGCCGATGCATGATGGTGTCACTGAGTCAGTAGCCCCCCCCAGGTGTCTGATAAGGAGCATTGCATGTCTCCGGCTCGGGAACATTCCTGATTGGACGGAGTCATGTGACCCGAGAGAAGCCACCGTTCCCCCCCTACAGTGTGCGGGTGGGGGGGATGACTTCTGATTGGTGGAGGCGGTTTATTTGTCTGACCAATCAGGTGGATTTGCTGCACGGACACTCCAGGCGCTGGATGATAGAAGGCACTTTATTAAGGCACAGCATTGTACAGAAGACATTCGTCCGCAGAGCTGACACTTCATCTGCCGGAACACTCGGCTCCTCTGATACATGGAAGTCCCGAGATCCATAATAATACTTCATTGAACATTCATACAATGTGACCCCCCCAGTGCCATTACCACCCCCCCAGTGCCATTACCGCCCCCCAATCCTGTCCTCTGAATGCCACAGAGATCTCTCAATGGGCCGGATGATGGCTCCTGGGATGGGGGGGGGGTGACACCAATGCTGGGATGGGGAGACACCAATGATGGGGGGGGGGGGGGATGGGCAACATCAATACTGGGATGGGGGGCAGACGGGTGACACCAATGCTGGGTTGGGGGGCAGACGGGTGACACCAATACTGGGATGGGGGGGAGACGGGTGACACCAATACTGGGATGGGGGGGAGAGGGGTGACACCAATACTGAGATGGGGGGGAGACGGGTGACACCAATACTGGGATGGGGGGGGAGACGGGCGACATCAATACTGGGATGGGGGGAGACGGGCGACACCAATACTGGGTTGAGGGGAGACGGGCGACACCAATACTGGGTTGGGGGGAGACGGGTGACACCAATACTGGGATGGGGGGGAGACGGGCGACATCAATACTGGGATGGGGGGAGACGGGCGACATCAATACTGGGATGGGGGGAGACGGGCGACACCAATACTGGGTTGAGGGGAGACGGGCGACACCAATACTGGGTTGAGGGGAGACGGGCGACACCAATACTGGGTTGAGGGGAGACGGGTGACACCAATACTGGGTTGAGGGGAGACGGGCGACACCAATACTGGGTTGGGGGGAGACGGGTGACACCAATACTGAACCTGGTTTTATGTTTCATCAGCTCATTGAACCAGAAGGACAGATAGCGCCGCACACTCCCCCATCAAACCTCGTCTGCTTCCTGGAGGGGGGGCGGGGTGCCGCACACTCCCCCATCAAACCTCGTCTGCCTCCTGGAGGGGGGGGGGGGGGGGAGGCGGGGCGCCGCACACTCCCCCATCAAACCTCGTCTGCCTCCTGGAGGGGGGGGGAGGGGAGGCGGGGCGCCGCACACTCCCCCATCAAACCTCGTCTGCCTCCTGGAGGGGGGAGGGGAGGCGGGGCGCCGCACACTCCCCCATCAAACCTCGTCTGCCTCCTGGGGGGGGGGGGGGGGGGGGGGGGGGTGCCGCACGCTGTCCTCATCCATCACATAACATGGTGTCTATGACAGGTCCTCTTTATGTGGCGGGGGTCCCTGTTGCTGGTACTGAGCGCAGCGCACACACAGCCTCAGATGCCCCCTCTGCTGCCTGGGGCCCGGCTGTCTGTCCTCATCACATTGTGCCGTGTGAGGGGCCCCCGGCTCTCAGGATCCGTCTGGGGGGCACCATTAACATTTCATCTTTTCCTCGTTATTACAGGAATCTCATCAGACGGAAAATGCTGAATTGTCAGTGCTGGGCGCCCCAGGGCCCCTCCCTTCAGTCTGTGGCCCCTTCACTAGGTCCATGGAGAGCCCCCGGGACTCCGGTGCAGTGAGGTCTATCTGGGGGGGGGGGGGGGGGGGATGTGAAGAGACGCAGAATGTGGGGCTCATTCACATGTCCACTCCAGGCGGCCAGCACAGCGACTGCTACGTGTGCGACTGACACCCATCTCCACCATGTACAGCCGGGCCCCTGCGTGGTGTGTGCCGGGGGACCGCTGAGAATGAACGACACCACAATGCATGAACTGCAGGGGGGGAACTGACTGACGGGGCTCATCCACAGGGGCAGCCACTCCTCTGAAATGCAATCTGTGCGCAGAATGTGTGACCAGCGGTGAGGAAGCAATATGTCTCCTCCCACCGCGCCGCCATTGTGTGCGTTCCCACAGGACTCCGCCCACAGAGCAGCATGCTGGTTCAGTGTGGTCATGGAGTACAGTACTGTGGGGGGAGGTAAAACTGCCCCAACCTTGTGTGAATGAGCTCCTTTGCTCTGCCCCATTGGGGATATTCTGATTGGCACAGGGATGGTGGGAACCCCTCAGTGGGCACAGACCTGGGAACTCGGCACAGGGATGGTGGGAACCCCTCAGTGGGCACACAGCGGGGGTACAGACCTGGGAACTCGGCACAGGGATGGTGGGAATCCCTCAGTGGGGGTACAGACCTGGGAACTCGGCCCAGGGATGGTGGGAACCCCTCAGTGGGCACAGCGGGGGTACAGACCCGGGAACTCAGCACAGGGATGGTGGGAACCCCTCATAATGGGCACAGTGGCTGTACAGACCCGGGAACTCAGCACAGGGATGGTGGGAACCTCTCATAATGGGCACAGCGGGGGTACAGACCCGGGAACTCAGCACAAGGATGGTGGGAACTCCTCATAATGGGCAGTGCAGGTGTACAGACCCGGGAACTCAGCACAGGGATGGTGGGAACCCCTCATAATGGGCACAGTGGGGGTACAGACCCAGGAACTCAGCACAGGGATGGTGGGAACCCCTCATAATGGGCAGTGCAGGTGTACAGACCCGGGAACTCAGCACAGGGATGGTGGGAACCCCTCATAATGGGCACAGTGGGGGTACAGACCCAGGAACTCAGCACAGGGATGGTGGGAACCCCTCATAATGGGCACAGTGGGGGTACAGACCCGGGAACTCAGCACAGGGATGGTGGGAACCCCTCATAATGGGCAGTGCAGGTGTACAGACCTGGGAACTCAGCAGCAGACAATACAATATCAGTTATGGGTGGAGTTACCCTGGAGGGTCCAGCTTGTTCCATAAAGCTTGGTGATGTGCAGTAACCCCCGGCAACCACTCTGGTTCTGTCTATGAAGGGATCTCTCCACCAATAATATCTCACAGAATTCCACTTTAATATAGAAGAGTGCAGAGCGGACCTTCTCTGGTCTCTATACTGGGGGGGGGGGGGGGCTGTACACAGAAGTCTCCCTCCCCCCTGAAATGTGACACATAATTGTGAAGTGGAAGGAAAATGAGAAATGGTTTCCAACATTTGTGACAAAAGATCTGTGAAAAGTGTGGCGGGATTTGTATTCAGCCCCCTTTACTCTGATAACTAAAATCTAGTGGAACCAATTGACTTCAGAAGTCCCGTAATTAGTACATAGAGTCCCCCTGTGTGTCATGTGATCTCAGTATAAATCCAGCTGTTCTGTGAAGCCCTCAGAGGTTTGTTAGAGAACATTAGTGACCAATCAGCATCATGAAGGCCGAGGAACACACCAGACAGGTCAGGGATAAAGTTGTGGGGAAGCGTAAAGCAGGGTTAGGGTATAAAACAATCTCCTGAGCTTTGCCCATCTCACGGAGCACTGTGTTCAATCCATCATCCGAACATGGGAGGAGTACGGCACAACTGCCAACCTACCAAGACATGGCCGTCCACCTAAACTGACCTGCCGGGCAAGGAGAGCATTCATCAGAGGAGCAGCCAAGAGGTCCATGGGAACTGTGGAGGAGCTGCAGAGATCACAGCTCAGGGGGGGAATCTGTCCTCAGGACAACTATTAGTCGTCCACAAATCTGCCTTTATGGAGGAGAGACAAGAAGAAGCCATTGTTGGAGGAAAGCCATAAGAAGTCCCGTCTGCAGGTTGTGAGAAGCCATGTGGGGGGGGGGGGGGGGGGACAGCAAACGTGGAAGAAGGGGCTCTGGTCAGAGGAGACCAACATGGGACTTTACGGCCTAAAAGGAAAACGCTATGTGTGGGGGAAAACGAACACTGCCCATCCCCCTGAACA